TGGTTAGAGCAACAGCTAGACACTGCATGCTTTATAATTATTTTGTTATTTTGGACAAATTGCTGCCATTCAATCATTTTGTTTTGCTTTGATTCACGATGACACGATGTCAATCCTTCGCATCTCGCCGATTTGCATGCAGCATACGGGTTGATGCATTCCAACAAGACACGCACCAAAGACAAGTAGTTTACTGAGTGATGCCATCGATTTCTTTAGACACATTGATGTCAATATAATTTAGCGTGACCAGTAACAGTCTGGAAACCAGAAGGAGACAACACATGCATAAATTACTAAAAAAGGAGTATCAGTTTACAGGATTGACTTCGAATAGATATTAAATAAAAAATTAATAACCCTCGTGCCAACTTTAAAGACGGTTGCTTGCGAAAAAATGCGCGGCTCGGCCCAGGCCAGCTAGGAGTGCATCGCGCTGCAAGTTTTGTTGTAATAGTTTATGTCAATTGAATTATTAAATCAAGGACATGACAATGGACATGGGTGGCTTTAATCTGTTATCGATCTTCACAGCTTCTATTTCTGATATAGAAAGTGCAAAGAATAAAACTTGCATTCCTGTCATCTTAAATCTCACAATATGTGAATACTCCATTCGCGTTAATTGGGTCATATTATTTTAAAAACCATTTGTTCATTAGTGTGGGTGTATCTCGTTGCTTTAACCAGAGCCTTCTCGCTTGCAGTAGCGCGCGACCGCCGTGAAACAAGCGCGTCACGCAGTATGCTTAGACACATGTGACATGGTTCATGGTTGTAGGTTTACAACCTACCAGGACGCGCGCCGAGTTGGACTCGTCGACGGTCCAATATATGAAACAGATATTTTACGAGTATCACCCGTTAAACACATGGCTATGTGAATGCATCTCGCATGACACATTTAAAATTATTCACCACCAATTTCATATATAGATGTGTCCCTTGAACCCAAAGCTGAGCGCTTGATTCGTAATATAATACTGATTTGAGCAATACAACTAGACTCTTAACGGGTGATACTCGTAAAATATCTGTTCCGTATACCGTCGACGAGTCCAACTCGGCGCGCATCCTGGTAGGTTGTAAACTTACAATACAACTCTCGCCTATCTGGCAATAGACTAATATGCGCGGCTTTTATTGCGCGCGTCTTGGGTAAGTGTCTTGGATAAGCTTGTAATTGTATCCGCTCCTACATCCTATGCATGTCCTACTAAATCGCTCGCCCAAATTTTAAGAAAATTCTTGTGAAAAGGCCCTTTGGGCATGAAAGTGATCTGAAACGGTGTATTTTTGGACGCTGATTCCAAATTACCCCCCATGACGTAGGGTTAAAATGCTTCCCTGGAGAGTTGTGGGAAAAAACCGTTTTGATCACGTGACAGGCTAGTAAAATACTAATTCGATTGTTTAGGGCATATTGGTATCGTAGCTAAACTCACCATAGTGAAACGACCGTTGGGGTCACAACGTGATACAATGCATGCGTGCATGCATTTCAACATTTATGTACATGTAATCACAAAATCGTTTCACATTTAGTGTTGTACAAAATAACAACGGTTTTTGATTAAATTGTAATAATAATACTCGAAGTGAATGCTAAAAATAAAATCCATTTCTACTTTCATAAAAAAATTATGAAATAAATAAAACAACATGTCAAAATAACGATAAATTATTTTATGATTTATAAATGTATTTGATTTACAATGTCAATCCTTCGCATCTCGCCGATCTGGTTTCGAGAAGATGTGCGGCGCGGCCCAGGAGTGCATCGCGCTACCGGCTACAATAAATGTATTCAAATACTGTTAAACTCGATGTTTAATTAATAAAAATGTTAGCATCAGTGCGCGGCGCAATTTTTTTTGATTTCGTACAGAATTATGAAAATCGAGCGCTATATGAACATACGTTATATTCCCCAAAATATAACATTCCTGAAATTTGTATATTGTTTTCTTGATAGACACAAAGTTTTCACGTCCCTTTACGTCCTGTACGGCTTTGCATACAATCTTTCAAGAAGGGTTTGTCAATGTTTGTCAAACCATGTCCAACATCAACAGTCACATCTAGGGGTCGTACCCCCTCCCCCTCTGTAATCTGTTACGGACACGTTCATTTGAGTTAGAGGATATTGGTAAATATTAGTGGCCCAATTAAAAGGCATGGTGTAGTTGTATTGACTTTGTCACACTATGAAATTACATGAACCCCTGATAACATAACATAACATAACATTATAAATAATGCCTCTCTGGGCATCTCAAAAAGAAATTCATAGAAAATGAACACTTTACGTTTGAAACCATATAATTGCAAACTTTTTAACAAATTCAACTAAATACCTTTGATATTAACCTTCTTCCTCTTGGCTACCAATAGATTCTCTTTCATATAACTTACATAACTAATCCTATTAGACACAGACACATCTATCCTATCAAAGATGTCATATGAAAGTTCCCAGTGATGACCAAGCTTATTAGCTCGATATCCATGAAGCCGAAAGGCATCTAATCCCCTCTTGAAACCAGTAACCGACTCACTAGCTTTCACAAGTGGTGGTAGACTGTTCCAACAGCGCAAGACCCTTTGGGCAAAGAAATCAGTGTCATTTGTGGTGAATCTATGAGTCTTTGATCTAGCAGCAACGGTCCTACCAGAACGACCAAATAAATCGGAACCATAACCCACAAAGCCTTCCTGGATCTTGAACATCTTAATGAGATCTCCACGAACCCTGCGTTCAAGCAGGGTTGTGAGGTTCAGCTTATCCAGTCTCTCTCTTTTTTTGTTAAAAATTTTTAAAAGTAATGTCAAACAGTATTATATATACAATAAATTAAATCAAGTGATGCAATTGGCAGAGCACAATCGTAAATCCTGAGCAATAGATATCATCTATCCCTCGTAGCTCTTCTCCTCAGGTATCAGGTTGAAGGAGACATTGGATATAGGGGCAGTCCATGCCTTCTTTGCCTTTCCACATACACCTCTAACTGCTACTAGCACACTCCTCATTATATCCATGCTCAGGCGTGTCCTGATGTTACACATCACCTGGCTGTAGTCCTCCTTTGTCTTGGTGGCTATCAACACAGCAAGTCTCCTTATGAAACGCTTGGCCTCCGGTGCCATTCCTCCTATAGTGGTAATTACAAGGGGGACGAATGACCCTTTCTCCAATTGTAGCACTCGGTTCATGTACTGGTTCTTTTTCTTATTCTCGTGCAGTCTCTCTCTGTAAGTCATGAGTCCCAATCCATCAATCATACGGGTGAACGATCTTTGAACACCTTCCAATTCAAGAATCAGTGACCAGTTTCCATGCCTAGCCACTGGAGCCCATGCCTGTGAAAAATACTTTACTAAAGACTTATACAAGCCCAGCATAACGCTTGTTTCCCTCGATATAATATTTCTTGTAAGTAAGATGCAATCTCGCCTAAACACGGCCGACACAGAAATGGTTACTTTGTCACACTATAAACATGTGACAGTGAATATGGACCCCTTGCTGCCGTTTTTTACCAAATTTTCGAGTGTCCAGACGACAAGATGGTATAAATGATAATTACCTTCATATTCGGTGATTTTTCTCGTTAAATGGTGCGCCCAGGTTTATTCCGTCACACATTTTAGAAAATATATGAGGAATGTTTAGGGCACCGTGAGAAAGAATGCTGAGTAGTGTAGGATTACTTGATGACCTGGAAGTACTGGGAATCGTTATAAGAGCACATAGTCGCGAGCAAATAACACACAGAAGGCACAAATAAGTTTACTTTGTCACATACTCTTGATGATATCTGAACATATTGTGTGAATACCAGCTTGAACACCCTATATTACGGACTGGATCAATCAACACTATTACAACCAATAGGTTAATTTTTCGTTCACATTGACATTTCTCATTATGGTTGGAATTGATTAAGGGGGCTGGGGGGGGGGGGGGGCTTTATGAAATTTCAGAAAGACCCGTCCCCCCCCCCTGCCCCCTTAATACAAGAAATATAGCAGCCCTAGCCCATACCAGTTTTCCACATAAAATGTATATTGTTGGGGCACAATATGTTAATTCTGTCACATTATTAGTGACTTAGTAAAATTTCACTTAACATGGTTAAACTTGAGCTCTGATGTGCTGATCAATAATCTACCAATTATTTCCGAAAGAATATTCAATTCTAATTGAGATATAGTTCTTCAAAATAGGGACAAGAAATGTTGACTTCATCACACAATTCTTGTGACAATGTTAACATCAACTGCCTTATCTTGAATCAACTGTATCGTCCATACTCCATGAAGTGAAAACTCCATGAATTTTTCACACAAAATTTTTTCCCTAATTGCTGGTTCCTAGCAAGTTCTCAACTTTCTGGAGATGAATGATACTTAATATCGATATGCCTGACATTCATCTTAGTAGTCCAAGTGAGAAGTGGCAGAATCAGCGAAAAACGTTGAAATGAAGATTCAAACATTATTTTAGGCAAGATTTTGTTAAGAAACTGGTTTTTTCCCTAATTGCTCTTTCCTAGCAAGTTCTCAACTTTCTGGAGATGAATGATACTTAATATCGATATGCCTGACATTCATCTTAGTAGTCCAAGTGAGAAGTGGCAGAGTCAGCGAAAAACGTTGAAATGAAGATTCAAACATTATTTTAGGCAAGATTTTGTTAAGAAACTGGTTTCTGGATTCTCGACTTTCTAGCGGAGGGCCGCCAGTCGATTAAAAAAACCTTAATCATTTGGCCTCCTCAAAGTTTTGTCAAAACTACTGAAAAAACCAGTCCCATAAGTCATAACCCTTACTGTTTTCTTGATTAAGTCCCACTTTTTGGGATTATTAATATAGATGTACCACTTAACTTTGAATTGATTTTCCTACAGTTATTGCATTTTCTTAATACTTATAGAATAATGTTGAATATCCGTAATTCAAAAGAACTTTTGCAGTCATATTGAATATTTATTTTATCAGGACCAAGTATGTACAATCTTATCGCAAGAAGAATAATGGCACAACGGCTCTGTGCATACCAGTTTGCCAGAATGCTTTCTGCTTCAGTGAGTTTCATATTCTGTTCACAGTTTTTAAAGTACACTATTTTTACTATTCAATTTGTTTGGGCTCAAATATAACATTAGAACTGTTTCAAAACGTTTTATATTGTAACATTATCATTTTGATCCTCAAATGTTTAATTCAAATCATATTAATTTGATCGATCTAAAACTTGTATCAAACGTCGCGTGGTATGTACAATATGATGCAGCAATAATTAAAATCAAATGTCCAGCAATTCCTATTGAACTCTGTATTCCTATCGAAAAATGTAACTTGTGGCCTTTGTCTTTTGTAAGTTATAAGTATTGGTGTCCGGTTACATCCTTAAGAGGTAATTATACTCGGAATCTTGCTTTGGCCCTGAGGGGCTCTCATCATTCTTCAATTGAGAAACAGCTATACTATATCATAAGCAGTGTTGTTAGTACATTCCCTTTCAGGACAACATACCTCAGCTGATGGAGAAGTTTAAGCCTCTGATAACAGACAGATTGGTGCATGAGACAGGGGTATCTGCTGTCCTGAAACTCACCGACTCTGCTTGGACCCTTGACCTTAGGGACGAAGGTTCGTTTTTTTAGTATATATAATATATATATACTATACATATATGTATATATATATATATGTATGTCTGTATGTCTGTACGACCGCCCACGTGCAAATTTGATGAGAAATAGGAAGTTAGGTAAAAACCAAAAGGTTGCATAGCAAAGATGTTGTAATGCGTACGTGCAAAGATGGTTGGAACGGCATTTTGATCGGTTTTGTGGTAATTACATTTTGTTTAAAGTGTTTTACATTTAAATCGGCTGTATCATCGGTTAGGGTGGATATTTTTGTATGCGATTAAAACTTTATTTCAAAGAACATTACTAGCTTCCTCCCTGTTACCAAGGGCTTTCTAGTATATATATAAGTTGAGTCCCCCCGCCCCCTCCCAGGCCATGTCCACTTTGAGGGTTAAATTATCTGAAATGTTGTCTGGCGAATATCGAAAAATATAACCCAATAAGTCTAAATGAAGTAACTGAAGTTCAAAAAAGGCTTTACCCAGACCTTGATATCTTATTTCTTAATGTTCTAAAAAGTTTGTGAGAATGTGGAAGAGTTTGGAAAGGACAAAAGTTGTGATCACCATGGCTACTAGCTTTAGAGCTAACTTTAGTCCCTGTAGGTTTAAACATAACAAAATGTGTGATGTTTGTGAGTGATCTGCAAGTTCGTAATTAATTTTAAATGATGTTTCCCAAGCAACACGAGTCATCTTAAGTCTTCTTGCCATTTCTCGTACATTTTGAAATCTACGCTTGCGCAACAGTTCACCTACGCTAACACCCACGACCAGTTCCTTAGCAACTGAGGCAAGGAGTGAGATAAGAATGTTCCATGTGAGCATGATGCCGTGCACATGACCTACAAAACAGTCCAGACATAAGGGTAGGCTTCCTGCAAGCCGAGGTGCAACATTAACACTGATCACTGCACAATGTGCATTGTGCAGTAAGCAGTGCACATTGCACAATGCTTGGTTGTAATCGCCCAGCTTAGATACAACCATAATCTTTGACGATAGATGCAATGGCTGTTTGTGCCTGCTTTTCTATGTTTTGATGTATGGACTCATTCATTCTTGCTACTAATCTTCTACCGGGCCGTACCTAGCATCTCCCTCCTCCAATATTGTCGGCATTCTCCCATCTGACTCCACAATCTTTACGGACTGCTGCTTCTCCAGTTGTGTTTTCCTCGATAGCCTTCCCGGACTCTTTAGTCTCTTGTTTGATTGTCTGCTAATTGCTAAACACTGCAGCCTATCACAATGATTGCCTCCTTCGGGCTTTACTTTGCCGTTCTGGCTTCTCAGCCAGCCGGCTCTTCTCAAAATCTCCGGCCCTTCCACACCAACTTATCACATACCCAGGCCCTCCACCACGACTGGGCAATGGGCATTCTAGCCTAAATATATTATCATCTTTATTATAGAGCTCTATAATACAGATGATAACCGTGTATCTATACTTCTGAGTTCTGACATGCAAAATAAGATATGATAATAAAAGAGATGGTCGTAACTTCGTAGTGTACTAATAAAGCGTGTAATGCATGAGAATTGAGAGTGTTTGGAAGTGTACAGTCACACTTACTTAGCAGTTAGCAACACGCAACTGTGCCACAAATAACGGGCCATGTTTTGGTCTGTTGACTGCGTGTTCAGTGTAAGTTAAAGTTCTAGTATAGGTTGAAATGGTATATTTGTCCATGATTTCAAGATTCAACTACATTGGTAGAATATTGAGGTTGCCACTTCTCCATTTCGTGTAGAAGAGTAGCTTGGGGGACAGCTTTTACTTTGAATACAAAATCTCCAAGTTCAACTTTGTCGACTGACTTCATAAATATCTGGTAATTTGTTCGAAACCTTTATGTTTTATCACCCCCTATTTCTCCTGATACCTTCAGCAATGTCTCCATCTTGCTCTGGTCATTGTTTTCCCCATGGGAAGTAGCACTGTCAATTGTCATACCACAGTTACACTAACAAAAGCTGGTGTTACACTACAAGTTACACCAAGGTCCTTATTCTTGTAGCAATTATACCACAACTGATTGATGACGTGGTCAATGTAACGAAGTCTATTTCTTCTTCCTACTTTTGTAACTGTCACTTCAGATGTGTATTATGGTAGAAAGAGAGAGTAATGTTTATTGTTGTGATAGAAAGTGCTGGCAGCATAGCACTGGTCTCACTAATATGGCCTGGTCTCACTAATTTGGCCTAATTTGGCCTACCGGCGCTGACTCCACCGCAACAATAGGATAAAGGATTTGCAGGGCGATTTGATGTTAGAGTTGGATTAATGTTAGAGTTAAGAGTTGGATCAATGTTAGAGTGGGTTTGTGTAAGATTACAAGGTTGATCGCTCCAGTTTTGGATGTATATTTTAGACACTAACTGTAATCCGAGCATAGTTTTCATATTATATTTTATGTTTACCTTTATAACTGATTATTATATCAGGTACAATTAAAGAGGGAGCTGACGAAAGTGCTGACATAACCCTAGACATGAAGAACGAAGTGTTCTTCAAACTGATCGACGGCAGGACATCTACCGCTGCAGCCTACATGTCAGGTACAACCTTCTTATCTTCTTGTCTCTGTTATTTTCTTGTCTCTGTTATCTTCTTGTCTCTGTTATTTTCTTGTCTCTGTTATTTTCTTGTCTCTGTTATCCTTCTTCTCATCTGTTTTTGTCTGCTGCAGAGCACACGCATGAGGTTGGTATATTGCTCTCGATACTGATGAACCATATTTGTATCGACACGTAGCAAGGATACTGAGTTTTGATAGGCTACTGCCTGAAAGCTGACTACTTAATCACGTGACAGAACACGTTTCACCTGTACCTCCCCACCACTATCCACATCCCACAGTTTAAATGGCTATATTATCTCAGTTAACTTTAACTGCTAGTATGGCGTAGTTAAAAGTAGCTGCGGGGTAGTAGCGGGTACTGGTAGTTAGTTTTACTGCACTGTAGAGGAAGTGTTATTATGCTCTCTGACTCTCTTATTTCGCAATATTTAATATTACCCACGTAACAGTTAAACATCTGCTTACGCGGGTGCTTTTAGGCAAATAATATTGAAGGGATGTTGTTTAATTTGCATTATCTTACTATACATGCCTGTTATCATTTAAACATATTACAACTTTAACCTGCTCTTCTGTGGAAACTTAGCGAATTAATTAGATTTCGTCTGGAACAATTTATGGTTATTTAGGATAATGTCTGGTAAATAGAATGCTGAGTATTCAGCAGAAATTATGTCATATTTAAATCACGGTAGTTGAGATTTCGTCTCCTTTTATGATAATTGTCACAGCCGGAAATATATCATGCCATGAGTGTACTTCTATTAGGGGCTATTTAACTATTAATAGTGCTTTGGGAAGATCTAAATTTAGTTCAACGTAACGCGCTGGTTAAAGGGTACGACTATTTCAGGGCAGTTAAAACTGGAAGGTAACATCATGCAAGCAATGAAGCTCAGCTCGATGTTCAAGAACATGCAGAGCGCTATCTCCGAGGAAGCTAAGTGATTATCTTAGCTATTAAGATTAAATCTGTTCGATTTTACCAGTATTCTTCTGTGATTTTATAATCATGATTTATATGATGAGGATTGAGGACGCTATATTTTTTGTGTGTGAAGATAATTGTTTTAATGTTTTGAATTGTTTAAAACTTAAACTGCTGATTTAAATTATTGCTGTGATGTTTAATTAGTTGCTAAATTAATGGAGAGAAAATGTGCTCTTTTGTTCAGAAAATATGGGATACGGTGCCTTAGTTTAGAATTTGAATTATATAAAACAGCTGCGCGGTTTTTCTAATAAGTACGTTCTTTACTAGGAAACTTAAGAAATCCCTTAATTGGCAAGCACCCTGCTAATAAATAACAACGAAAAATGCCATTAACGATTCTTAAATTTGTACTCTTGATGGAGTATCTTGATCATGAACTATGGCGCGTATCCCTGGTCTAATTTATCTATTGTTGAATTGATTATATTATGAATAATTTATTACAGGTCGTTTTGAGCCCCTAATCGGGGTTTTAACGATCTGCATGTTACTTTTTGACCCTTTACCGCCTTAAGAGCATCAAAGCACGCGCAAGAATTGTCGTGCACGGAACGCGCGAAGAAGAATTGCTAATAAAAAGGGCTCCTTGTTTACTCCTTTTTCTTCAAAATTGATATTAATTTTGTGCGCGTTGCGCTTTCTTCTGTGCCTTACTTCGTACATGCAGTCATTTCTGTCGAATTTCAAATCTCGCGTGTCGTTTTACTTTTGTCTTCAAGTTTTACAGATTCATCACATACATCTGAACTCTCCTCAACCATAATAACCAAGTCCCCTAGCGCCGAGCGAGTATTTGCTGTGGTTGAAGTGGTGTGTGTGCGTGTGTGTGTGGCACTTCCGGCCCAACTATTAATAACAGTTTGTATAATTACAAACTTCGCTGCAAGCTTCCGTGTTCTCAAGCTTCTCTGCTATTCGCCCTTGTACGTTGTATGCGACATATGGCCTACCATTGACAGACACATCCCCACAAGGGGACCATGTCTACATAATATCCAGACAATTATTCACCCCTTTGTTCTTTTCTACATATAATATACAAAATGTGGCGGCATGACGATTTGTGTACTACGCCGTATGTAACTATTCGGCGTGTATCAGAGGCAATTACTGCCCACTTCCGCAACCTTCGCTGCAGCTGCGTTACACTTTGCTTGCGCTCTGCAGAGTGTGTTGTTAGCTCCACCACAACGACACACGGAGGAGGTCGTATCGTGACTAATGCGACAACAACAGTCTGGCCTCATGTTATTGCGGCAAATTTAAATTTGTTTTCTGCTTATGTAACCTGCCGCTGTCAGCCGTTCTTCAGAGGAGCAATTGTTAGCTACGGTAACTGTGTTTGTCGGTCTGTGCAGTAAATTCGACAGAAATGAGCTGCAATGCTAGGACAATAGGAGAGTTCAAGACAAGCGTCCGCGTAATGAATTGAAAGCTATTCGATTTGAGACTGTTAATTTAATGCACATATAACTTGAGGTGACAGCTATTTTTGAATTAACTTTATTAAATAAATCTTCTCCCTCTTGAAGCATGTTACAAAATGACAGTGGACTGGTTTTTGAATGAAACGCCCCCGGGACTGCCAGAGCTAAGGGATCCCGTGCCATCTTCTGAAATGGAACTTTACTTAACCAACAACTACACCAACACCTACTCATCCGTCCCGGAGCCCATGTTCCCTGGACAGCAGGATGGTATGTGATTGTTTATTTGGGGACCAGTGCGTGGTCCTCCGAGATAAGGAACTACTTTCTCTTAATTAGCTGTAATTGATATACGATATCTTGCTGTATTTTGCTCAAAAGTTAGGACTCGCCCTGTGTTGATATACCATCCCTCCCCTACACTATTGTTTACAATAGTAGGATACAACAACTCCCCTCCCCATACTTATTATTTTTACAACAGCAGGACAGAACAACTTCCTGCAATACCTGATGAGTGGAGGAAGTGGGGACAACTCCAACAACACGACCCCCAGTGACATAGTGGCCCTGAACTCGCCCAACAACGTCCCCTCGCCTAGCACTGCCACTAACAGCCCCCGAAATACTCCGGTTCCACAGCCGCCACAGGTTTACACTGACTCTTAATCATACTATTTCTGAAGATTTCGGAAACTAGATTTTTGATTGTTTAATAGATGGGCTGCAGAAATGTCGGCTGACTTCTAATAATCAGTCTGATAGACTCTAGATTGAATTCTGAAATGATATATCTCTAACTTAGTTTTTAACGTGTCCCTTGTCCAGAACGTAGCTCCACAGCAGAGAAAGTCACCGGATGAAGTGAACGAGTGTCGGTGGATTGACCAAGTGACCCGACAGGTAGGTCACAATCTGTTAGGCTTCGTCTCCTACTGTCTAGAGTTACTTTGTATAATGTACAGGGTGTTCACGATACAATGAAACGGTTTTAAATGTCTATATATTATACAAGTGTTCCCCTGGCTGTTCTAAACTTGTCTCGTTTTATCTCGCCATATTTCCCTTAAACGTTGACAATAACTTTGTTAACTTTCCTTGCCACGCTTCTAAATTTAGCGCCTCAAACTTCCCTCTTTAACACTAATTCCCCCACTAGCCATGCGGGTTGAAGTTCAGCGAGGTATCGTCCCTCGGGCAGCACATCACCTCTCACCACGTGAAGGATACGCCGTTCCTGTGTTGGTGGGAGAACTGCAAAAACGTCAACCACCCCTTTTCAAGGAAGTACAAGCTCATCTATCACATCAGGACTCATACCAAGGAAAAACCTCACAAATGTACAGGTGTGTGTTGTTTTTCTTTGTCTCTAACTTTTGCCCTGGTAAACCATCGTTACGTGGTTTGGTTTGTTTGTGAAGTAAGTCTAAATTAACATGCTCCCTGTTTGATTACCATGATGTTCATTTTGTCCCTTGTATATGTATTGCTCCTTTTATAAAAATTTTCAGTGCCCTTTCTCTTCGCTCTGTTTTTTGTCGGATTTGTGAAATTTCTGTGCTCAAAATAACTGTTGAAAATGACAGGAGGTAATGGCCTGGCTTCTTAATTCTTATGTATAGTAAGAACGTTTAGCTTCATTTAGTCTAGATCTTGGGCCTCTACCTTAACTCCTTCCAGTGTAGAATTTATTTTTCACTGTACACGTTCTGTTTTATTTCAATTACAAGACTTTAATCTTTCCAACATTCTAAGCAAACTTGCAAACTAGCAACCTCCTGTAAGATGTTACTACTTACCCTTGCAAAATAGCAACCTCCTGTAAGATGTTACTACTTACCCTCGGACTAATCTACATACCCACGCTCAAAGTATAAACTAATAAGTATCAAAAGTAGTTTGACTGTTTATAATCGATCATTAAACCTAAATATCTCCCCGGGATAAATACATCTCTCCCACCAAATAATCTGTTGATTTACCTGCTCTCAATTTATACCTGTTCTCAAACTCTCGCTCTGCTCACTCGGATAACCTTAACACATAAACTCAGTTTATAGCTTCATCCCAATTATGCCATATTAGGCATGGTAAAGCAGTCCCGGCTGTGTCCTTTCGCTTATGTGATGTTTAGTTGTGTAACGATAGGTAGTGTCTCACGTGGTGGGTTACCGGATCATGCACTGGTTCTTAGATTGAGAGCTTGAAGAGCTGGTACTGATCAGTTTTATCTGATCCTTCCTGAATCTTGGTTGACCCTGGTGTACTATTTTACCATGTTTGCTGGATTTAAGTTGGATCAATTGTGTGTGTAAGTCCTGTATATATTTTTACAGTTGTGTGCTGCGATGATTTTATCTCTAAGAGATTGAAGTGATTAACCCTTAAAGAGCTATGTAAAAACTGTTTTTTAAAGCCGGGAAATCTACGTGTTTGCTCACTCAACTCTTCAATAACCAAACCGAGTCCGTTGTCTTCTTCCACAATCACTGTTTACATAAGCAAACTTTTTGGGTAATTAACTTATTTAGATATGTAACCTAAACAATGATATGTGAGAATATTCAGTCTCTCTAAGAAATGAGATATCTCCGAAAATGTTATCGGGATACTCCTCACTAATTCCTCTCAATCATGGGTCTCGTTACTATAATATACTGAAACTTGTCTCCATCACTCTAACACTAGGTGACCTCGAGTGATCTGATTAATTACTCCTTCATTACTTACCTCGGTAACTAACCAACCCAGTTACTCAACCCAGTGACGACATTATTTCTTAATCTCGTGACGGCACTATTTCTAAACTTGGCTCATATCCGATCTATCTTGGCTCGGTTCCGACACTACTGTTTACCAAACTTTACCATGTCACCCTACCCGTTAGAACCTGTATCCTGTAATCGGACTTCCAAACAACATGTTATTACCCATAACCAGTCCTGTCAGTAGGATATAACAATCTGTAAAATACTCCAGCTATCTTCTCAGCTTACAACAATATTTTTGACATATATGATAATTTTGACAAGTTGGGGCTATATTAAACACAATATTAAACACAGTTGAGATATGGAGGCAGAATAACAGGGAGTGTGGGTTGGGAGGTGTTGAGAGACGACCGGTATCGACATTACTCTTGTACATCTAAAACACTGTTTATACCTCGACACTTGATACAGAGCAGATGGAAGGAGGGAGATTAAAGTTTCGACACGTGAGATCAACACCAATTAAATCCCCTGTGATAACAATAAAAATATCTATCGTGTATAGAGTATAGACCATGGCCCTAATCTACAAATATCTATCGAATATAGCTACAAAGGATACATACACTAGAAATTTATATGAACGAGCATACTAGCATAGGCAATAATGCCTAAGAAAAGATATTAATGGCGACAAAGTAAGGCTGCAGCTGAGAAAGCCTCACACGGACAGAACAAAAGAAGCGAATTTAGAATTTAGTGACTGTCTCTTAACTTGGAAAACCAGCAACAGTGAGCAACAATCAAACTAGAGCACAAGTGGTACAAGACACAAGGGTCACTCTCACAAACCCCCATATAAAATATACTTGCCATGAATGCCTATCAAGCAATTAAAACGGGGCCGAGCCAGAGTGTGCCGGGGTCATGTGGAAGAAGCGTGCCAGATGATCTTTATTAATGATTTAGGGGCCTTGTAGTCATGTGGCAAAGCTCTCTTTTTACGTTTACCTAACATTTGCATTATATCTTGGTCGTGCGTAGCACTTTATAGTCTACACTCAGTACTTGGAAATTTGTGTAGAGCTGAATTGCCCCCTGAATTCCTTCCGAAAAAATCCACCTTTTCTTACAATTATGTTTTTCTTTAAAAGTCTCTAATATTTAGTATTGTATCAATGTAAAATACTGCCGTCGTTAAATTGGGTGCCAAGGTACGCATTTAGTCTTTAGATGACCCCAGAAATTATCTTTTTTTCGACATGTTTGACATTCTAAATACGCATCAAATGTCAACATTTTTAGACTTGTCTCGGAATCAAATATTTTACGCATTCCACCAGAAATTTTCAGGTTTTGTCATGCCAAAAATGTCTGGAAATATCTGACGTTTGTTACTTTTTTGAGCTTTGACATTTCGTCACTCACTTAGGACTTTTATGGACACAATTGTCGTTTATAATTTGACGTGTCGTAAAAGGTGAGGGGGAATTATTCTAAAAATCTTAACTGTTCGCCTTGTAAGTTTTTATGGAGAAAAATGCAAATGGTGCCGCTCTTATTTATCGATTTAAAAATTGGATGTGCCGTACATTCTCCTATTATATATGTTTCTTCCTACGTTAGGGTTCAGACGTTAAACTCCAATTCAAGGGTTTGTCTGGAATAAAGTTCTGCGGAATTACAAGCCAGTCACTAGAGATCAAGCATGTATAATATCAGCTTGTCAGCCATATCTATGATTATTAATTACACATGTCACATTGTATAACTTTTCTGAACATTGTAGTTCTAAGATCACGTAATTCACTTAAGGGAGTCGAAGATTTTTCATACATTTGTATTCCATTATTCTTGCCAATTTGAAACTTCACTTCTGTTTCAGCATCTCGTATTCTGATTCAGATCACGTGGTAACCAATGGCAGCAGGGATATTCCACGATCCTAATAGATAAATAAATTGTTTAATCAAGTTAATTACAACTAGTTACCCACCCAGATCTTACTGCAGAGTACCAGTTGAAAGAAACTCAGGTTAATGTAGAAAATGTACCACTGCTCAGTGGACATGAGAACGAAATTAGAGTGTCAGATTACAGATACACTCTGTCTCTCTCTCTCTCTCTCTCTGTAGCTTTGTGTAAACAGACAAGTGTAGGTGTAAAGTTGCTGAGTTAAAGGAGTGTAACAGATCTACACACTCTCTTTTTCTGCATACTTGTGAAGTATCACATTCTTCTCTCTCCGAGGAGCTCTCGAGTAAATCTCCAATAACGGCCACAGAAACACGGAATAAGAACACCATTATCGTACTTTACGACGGGGTTACCCACGGGAATAGTTCTATATGTTCGGAAATAGCCCCTCTGAGTTCTGAAATAGCGCGGGATATGTCCGGAAAGCTGCTCAAATTTTGGTTATCCATGGTAAGTGGTGGTTAAGTAAAAATGAAACTGATTGGTTGCGGGTTGGGTGTAAATGTTAAGGAAGCTGATATTATAAGCGATGGACAAACTTGAATGCTAATCGAATCTGTCTTACAAAATAGTGTTATTTCTATGGACATGCCATTATGAATGAAATTTGTTTTTGTTTCTGATCCCCGCTACTTTCATAATTTCAAACGGCAGAATTACAGACTATTGTGATTGGACATAATTTTATTTTTATCCCCTTAGCTGGATAAGTATTGTTGTTAACATACTCATTTCTGTTGTAACGAAATAAACTAGAAGCTGACAACTTTCACTTCCTCACAATTTCCCTGGTATTTAGTATTTTACCGACAATATTTAATACACCAACCTGTCACATGATTGTATCCGCTCCTGTATTATATCCCTTCTAGTTCCCGAATGGTTTACCGTCTGGCAATCTCGCTCTTTGTTTCCAGTGATATTCCACCGAAGTGTCACGTTGAAACTACCTCGACACTAGACTCTTACAAACGTGATGTTAAGGCTTTGTAAGGGAGTGGTTTTAGTTTTGAGAGCCGAGAGGCAGTTATTTGGACAGTATTAATTGTTAATAGCGTATAAAAAATATTGAACTTGATATTCAGCATATCGCAGTAATTGACTTTCAGCAAATTGTTATATTTCGTTGTATCGACCCCATCAAACTTCAGTGTCGGTAGTACAGTTGGGTAGTTGGTAAGTTTCTTGGCACCCTCTTCATACTTTGGTCACGAAATATCCGCGCATATTTCGTAGAATCGACCCTAACTAACTAGTTGGTTAGTAAGTCAGGTAACTTAATTAGCTTTTTAGTTGGCAGTTAAGCATCCACTCATATCACAGATCTAGAGTCTCCTTTCCAGAGTCTCAAACACGTGTTAAGACTTAAGAAGTGAGAGGGGACAAAGAGTGTTGTGAACAGCTGCTGGCACAGTTTTTACAAATGTATTTATTTCTACTTAATGTTATAAAACATGTCTATCTTGCTATTTTAGACAGTATTCTTATTTATTAATCCACATTTAAGACTGAAAATGAAATCATAGCTCTTATCCTGGCTCTTTAGGTTCTAAAAAACACAGCAGGAAAACATCATCATCTAGACACTCCACACTTCTTCCGAACAGTATTATATTCAATGTATATGAAATAAGCACGCGGATACTTCTTCGTGCATC